CTGAAATGAACGACGTCGGAGCTCGTCATCTCTTCAGCAGCATCGTCAGATGAACCGCCTTCACGACATACTTTCGTGCTCAGAAAATAAAACTAAGATCCTCGTGTAAGAAGTCAAAAAGGTGAAAGCTAGCGTGAAAAGAATACGAATATTGACTATCCGAATATTCTTTCTGTTAACGAACGAACGGATATTCATTCGTTTACGACTGCGAATGCGGCCGGTTTTCTGCGAGATTCGACCTTCGGTGAAGATTATCCGTTTTGAGAAATGCTCGTTTTTTGCCAGGATATATTGTGTGCCACATTGGCACGCAAAGCACGCTGATCTTGTCACTTGTCACCTCTTGAGATTGACAATGGATACTGAATGGTGATTTATTATTCAGGAGGCCAGCGGGCTTCTGCCTGACTATGCTCTTCTGCTCAATACTCACGACGAGGAATTTTACGCCACTGGGATCACGCGAGATGTCGTGCCTGAGCTGGGTCAAGATTCAGACGATGATCAAACAACCGATCACTCTGTGGTATTCTCCTTCTGTACGACACACCCATCTGTGGCGAAGTTCACAAGGCAATCGTGCACCGTACATCGGAACAGCTAGCTACTGGCTTGGTCAACCAGCCCACAGGCTTGACTTTGTTTTTGACGACGAATGTACAAGTGCAAGTCAAGTCCGGCGTGAAGTCACTCGGTACTTCAGGACAATATCGGGCACCTTCTTTTCAGGTTTTCACCCACTTCCAATCAAACCTCAGAAACAAGCTCCAGGGGGCTCTTGACCGCCTCTACCTGTGGGGAGAATCGTGGTGCATCCGCTTCGAGCCACAGAAATCGCAGCAACTGGTGATCAGCACGAGATCAGAAACCCCAGCGCTGGACCCGGACTCTGATGATCTACACCTAGTAGTGAAACCGGTCAGCCAAAAGTAAACTTTAAAAGAATGTCACACTTGTTTGTGCAGTTTGTGTCGGGGGTATCACTTCATTAAGAAAAAAGAAGGACTCTGATGATCTACACCTAGTAGTGAAACCGGTCAGCCAAAAGTAAACTTTAAAAGAATGTCACACTTGTTTGTGCAGTTTGTGTCGGGGGTATCACTTCATTAAGAAAGTTGTCATTCCGCAACAACCTCCGCACTGTTGCAGTCTGTGCAAGCAAACGACTGTGCTTTCTCCGACGAGCTGCCCACGGCCTGCCTCGGGCCGGCCGCCTGGCTATGTACAAAGGCTTCATACGGGCAGTCCTGGAGTATGCCCCATTGGTCTGGATGGGTGCCTGCCAGACCCATCTCGATCAGCTAGATCGAGTCCAGAGGAGCGCTCTGGACATCATCGGCCCAGGCATCCTCCTGGACTCCCTCAGTCTGCGCCGCTCGGTTGATGGCATCACGCACCTGTACAAGCTACGCTCCACTGATGGCTCAGCACAACTTGCCGCAATGCTTCCACCTCCGGAACCGCCACGGCCTCACCCCAAGACTATACGACAGCTCGACGCCAGCCACCACCCTGCCTACCTGAAGCTTGACCTCCCACACAGTGCCCCTAACCACATCCGCCGGTCATTTCCCTTCTGCCTCGTGGAAGTGTGGAACAGCCTTCCAGCAGATATGCCCACCAACATCCAGGATAAGAAAATGCAGGCGTTCAAACCGAATGTTCACAGGCATTTGCGCCACAAGCACTGGCTTTGGGCAATGGACAACAACTAGTGCCACTGATAATTCTCCCTCTCGCTCTCCCTCTGTCTCTCTCTGTCTGTGTGTGTGTGTGTGTCTCTCTCTCGCTGTATCTCTCTCTCTGTCTCTCTCGGTCTCTGTCTGTCTCTCTCTCTGTCTCTCTCGGTCTCTATCTGTCTCTCTCTGTCTCTCTCTGTCTCTCTCTGTCTCTCTCTGTCTCTCTCTGTCTCTCTCTGTCTCTCTCTGTCTCTCTCTGTCTCTCTCTGTCTCTCTCTGTCTCTCTCTGTCTCTCTCTGTCTCTCTCTGTCTCTCTCTGTCTCTCTCTGTCTCTGTCTCTCTCTCTCTGTCTGTCTGTCTCGGTCTGTCTCTCTGTCTCTCTCTGTCTCTCTCTGTCTCTCTCTCTGTCTCTCTCTGTCTCTGTCTCTCTCTCTGTCTCTCTCTGTCTCTCTCTGTCTCTCTGTCTCTCTGTCTCTCTGTCTCTCTCTCTCTCTCTCTCTCTCTCTCTCTCTCTCTCTCTCTCTCTCTCTCTCTCTCTACCTGTCTTTATAAATCTCTCTCTCTCTCTCTCTCTTTCTCTCTCTAAGACTTTCAGGGACCTACGTAAGCTGAAGCATGATCAACCTATATTATTTGCTTTTGTTATTTTTTGATCTTCTCTTTCCCATTTCTGTTGCATTTTTCAGATGCTCTCATAAGTCTATCATTCATAGTATACCCCCTTGGCCCGCACAGTCCATGTTGATTCCGAGACCGGAATGGTGGGAGGAGTGCACTGCACCTGACCAGCACAGCTCTTGTAGCACCTACTACTCCTGTTCTTGTCTTTGCATGTTGTCTTTGTCTCTTTTATTACCCCTATCGCTTTGTAGGGATGTGGAAATAGTATTGAACGCTGACGGTGAGCACTTTGCAACAGCCTAGTTGCTTTGCCTTCGAAATTTGATACAGTGTTATGCACCTGGTATCATACATACACACGGAAATGATCCCAGCCCTCTGTCACACCCCACACCACACATGCACATACCAATATAGACCATTATTGTGAATTGCACTCTTGTATCCGCCTAATAGTACTACAGTGAGCGGCACAACATGGGAGCGCAAATCATGCGAAACGTGAATCATAAGCTTCTCTCTCTGCCTGGACATTATGAACATTAAGTCAAACACACAACAAAGTCACTCACATCTTTGCCAATTGAAGGTATTTGCTTGGTGGATCTGTTTGAAAATGCGTTGTCTCTCGTCTTCTGGCAACTCTATAATGCTTGGGTGAGTAAGTGCATTGTATCGAGCGATATTGACGGATTTATTACTGGGTAAGCCAGCCACAGCTCCAAACAGGCCATCTGAAAAAAAAGAAGAAAAAAACAGCTTTAATTCTCCACTCGGGAGATATTCCGTTAAACTCTGTTAAGCTGTTTAAATGAGTTATGACAAACTGTCCACCAATGTAACCAGGTCATATACAATCAGCTAGTGGGACAACATGGCACAAAACTAACAAGGAATACTGAGACTCGGATGGAGAGCCATGGCTTAATTTACAAGAAAGAAAAGGACCAACTACAAGTTACGCTATAATGTGGACTAACACCACCAGTTACTGACGTTCTACAACTAACTGGCTAACAGCTCTAGCACATCTTGGATGCGCACTCCAACAGCCTTCCAACTTGGAAAGTTCTAAGTTATAGAAATGACATAAGGAGGGGAAGGTGAGCGCAACCAAGATAAGCATGAGCTGAAAGTCTCAGCTGTGAAGGACGGTGGCGGATGTTCATGCATGTCGATAACGATACTGGCAAGACCATTGGACAATACGGTCAAACCACGATTCAAGGACGCAAAGCAACATCCCACACAACGTGTGTGGCTCAAAAGATGCGAAGATCAAAACATGAAAGGGGACGCTATGCAAACAAGAATCATGTAAAACCGAACACCTCAGTGAAACAGTACTGTACTTACACTATAACAGTAATGGCCAATAAGCAGCAATAGCAAGCAGCAGTTTCACACGACGATCGTTTCGCCGGGTAGATAAGGACAGCTCATCAGGTGTGCAGGAATGGACTCGGATGGAGAGCCAAGGTATAATTTATAAGAAAGAAAAAGGACCAAGGAACTACAAGTATCTCTACAATGTCCACTAACACCACCAGTTAGTAAACAATCAGCTCGTGCGATAACATTGCACGACACTGACCGACGGTACTGACATTCTACAACTAACTGGCTAACAGCTCTAGCACATCTAGGATGTGCACTCCAGTTAGTTGTAGAACGTCAGTATCGTCGGTCAGTGTCGTGCAATATTATCGCATAAGCTGATTGTTTAGTAACTGGTGGTGTTAGTGGACATTATAGCGTAACTTGTACTTCCTTCGTCCTTTTTCTTTCTTATAAATTCTGAGACATTCAACGTCCTGACACCAAGCTACAACCCGGAAGGCTCAGGTTAGGAAATGTCCTAAGATCGACTGGAATGCAAACCGAAGATGAGCATGAGCTTTGTCCCACAGCAACAAGGTCAAAGAATATGTAGACAGTGAAGTATGTCAACTGCTAGTCAGTACAGGACACCTGAATAGCGTTCCCGTTCCACGTTTCCTTGAAAGATACAGATTAGAGTATTTTCACACAATGCCTGTTACGCACGTCACTTGTACACTATCGGCTGGGCTACTATAAGAGAATCTCGTATGGAGCATGATGTGATATGATGCTCATGTCTTATCACGTGACTATTACGTCATATATTTTGCCTGTGTATTACGTCACAACCAGCATGCGCCATCTTGGACTAGTCGCCTGAAGTGCATGCTTGGCTTGACCTGGTTGTCTGTTCTTACCTGTCTTCTTCACACTTGTATCTAATTGTATTCTTCCAAACCTCAACCTGTGTCCTTGAGTGTTTGTGCATGACTGTGAAGGTAGACATCACATGGCACAGTGAACATATTCTACCTGTTTTGTTGCTGCCGGTTTTTCGTACCCTGTGTTTGCACCTCGTTGTGTTACGCGCAGGCCGGAATTTTCAAATTTGCATTTTGTTCGTGTCGAACCTGTTTCGAAATGTCGGACGGCGATGGCCAAGCCGAACTCTCTGGAGTCGCTGCTCTCACTAAGTTAGTCGCAGCGCAGATGCAAGCTGCCTAGGCCAGAGAACAACAATTGTCCAAACTGTTTCAAGACACTTTGAAAAGTCTCCAACAGCAACAACAACAGCCCACGGGTTTAGCCCCAACGTCTACACGCTCGACACTCACATCCGCACCAACACCAAAGCCGCTGTCTGTGGATCGTCCAATGTTGCTTTCTACTGCGTCTTTGGCTGATTTCGCCACATGGGAAGAAGCCTGGGACGACTATTCAGCGTGCCAGCAACTTGCTTCCCATGGCTTGAACACCAGAGTGAGCGCCCTTCGTCAAGCGTTTGACGAGGACCTCCGCCGCTTTCTCCGCGAGGGTATCATCCCCATCGGTGCAAACGACGATGTTCATGTTATCATCGCCGCAGTCAAAAAGTATTTGCGACGTTTACATAATCCTTTGTTGGACAGACTAGCATTTTACAATCGTAAGCAGTCCAGAGCTGAGCCGTTTGACGCGTTTTACACCTCCCTGAGAGAGTCGTATAATGCATGTGATTTTCCGGACTTATCACTATGCACTACATGTTCGGGCCAAATATGCGGAGTGTGCAAGTCCATCCTACAAAAAGTCACACATGATGTACTGCGTGACCGCATTGTCGTCGGAATATCCAACGAGGAAACCCGACACAAGTTGCTTGCCACACCAGACCTGACCCTGGATGCAGCCATCAAACTTTGCCGTGCGGAGGAAGCAGCGTCTGACACCTCCCACAACATTCCTGGGCAGGCGGCGCATGTCAACGCCGCACGGAAGTCCGCGTACCAGCAGCAGAAGCGACAGTCTGCCGCTAACTCCTTTAATAAGTCCTCTGCTGCTCCGAAAGCACCAGTTAAATGTCCAAACTGTGGTCGTTCCCCGCACACCAAGTCTGCATGTCCAGCCATTGGGAAATTGTGCAACGGATGCAAAGTTGCTGGCCATTTCCAATCAATGTGCCCGAAACGCAAGAAGCAAACTCAGATTGGCATGTTGAAGGTCCGGCGCACGCAGGAGTCCGGCTCCGACACTGTTCGACTTGCAACAAAGTTATGCACGGAACCACAGCCAGTGCAGCTTCAATGGATCCCGGACACTGGGAGTGACATCGATGCAATTGGCATCCGGCAACTTTCCCTGCTCGGCGGATTCGTTGAGAATCTCGACAGTGACTTTGACGACGTCCGGACAGCGAGTGGCGACAAGCTCGTAACTGTCGGCAAGATTTGTGTCACTCTCCAGGTCAATGACCAATCACATGACAGCGTGCTCCATGTTTTTGACGGTCTTGACGACGCACTGCTGTCACGTTCCTCATTGAGAGCGCTAAACTTCTTGCCGCCTGGCTGGCCCCAGCAAGTCGCACGTGTGAGCGCTCCTCGTACGCCCAGCCCGACAGACCTCGTGAAAATCCGATCACAATTGCTAGAGGAGTTTTCCGACGTATTTGACGACAGTACTCTCAAACCAATGTCTGGGCCCCCGATGGACATCGTTCTTGAACCCGATGCCAAGCCTCACCGTGTGTACACTGCCCACCCGATCGCCTATGCTTACCGCGAGAAGGTCAAAGCTCAGCTGGATGACATGGTCTCTGAAGGCATCGTTGAAACTGTGTCCGACCCGTCTGATTGGTGCCACCCAATAGTCATTGTTGACAAGAAGGGCTCAACTGAGAAGCGGCTGACTGTCGACCTGCAGACACTGAACCGCCAAGTCAAACGGCCAACACACCCTATGCGCAACGCCCGCGAATGTCTCTCTGCCATGGGTCCTGCCACGTATTTCACCACCCTTGACGCAAGTCATGGCTATTGGCAAATCCCATTGACTGAGGACGCCAAAGCCCTAACCACGTTCATCACCCCATGGGGCCGATACAGATTCTGCCGCAACCCGCAAGGCCTGGTGTCGGCCGGTGATGAATTCAACCGTCGGACTGACTCTGCATTCGATGGCTTGCAGAACTTCTTCAAAATCGTTGACGATGGTCTCGTTCACAATGTAAGCTTCGATGACCACCTCGTCCACGTCCGTGCAGTCTTGCAGAGAGCCCGTGCTCATGGTATTACTCTCAGCGCCAAGAAGTTCACCTTTGCTGCCAGCACTGTTGAATTCTGTGGCTTCACCGTGTCCTCTGACGGCTACACTGTGGACCCCGCCAAGACGTCAGCCATTCAGAACTTCAGCACACCCAGCAATCGCACCGACTTGCGTTCCTTTCTCGGCCTGGTCAACCAGTGCAGCGTCTTCACGCCACGACTCGCGGAGCTGGCGGCACCTCTATGACCGCTCCTGAAGACATCCAATGAGTTTGTCTGGGACTCCGTCCACACTGCAGCATTCGATGCTACAAAGGCAGAACTCGTCTCCCCATCTGTGCTATCGTTCTTTCAGCACGGCAATGCACTCCGGCTTGAGACAGACGCTTCAGTCCTGAACGGCCTCGGGTACGCACTTTGGCAACTCCAAGACGACAAGTGGCGCCTGCTTCAATGTGGCAGTCGCTTTCTCTCGGACGCTGAAACACGCTACGCAGTCAACGAGCTTGAGCTGCTAGCAGCTGTATGGGCCGTACACAAGTGTTCCCTGTTCTTGTCCGGTGCACCGTTTGAGCTCTGTACTGATCATCGCCCATTAATCCCGATCCTGAACTCGTATTCTCTTGACCAGATCGAGAACCCCCGATTGCAGCGTTTAACACTGAAGCTGCGCCCGTACCAGTTCGTTGCCAAATGGCGCAAAGGCACCGACAATGCCTTTGCCGACGCTCTCTCTCTGCATCCAGTTGACACGCCTCACAGTGATGAAGAATTTGGCGAGAATCCAGCCCTCAGTGCGCCCGCTGTTCGCGCGTGCCTACGTCAAGATGATGACGGCCATAGCGTCGATCTCCACTTCAGCGAGCTACTAGAAGCTGCGCGAGCTGACCCTGATTATCAAGCACTCGTGCACGCCGTTCGTCATGGTTTCCCGACCAATTCGGCTAATGCCGACCCTGCTGTCAAGCCGTACTTGACAGTCCGTGAGCACCTCTCTGTGGACAGTGATCTCGTCCTTAAGGGCCAACATGTTGTCGTTCCTCGTGCCCTACGTTCTCGTGTCCTCCAGGACCTGCATGCAGCACACCAAGGTCTCACCCGTGCTCAAGGTCGTGCCCGCCAAATTGTGTTCTGGCCGAACATCTCTAACGACATCGCTAACACAGTCCGCAGTTGTGAGATGTGCCGGCTGCATGCCCCATCCCAATGCAAGGAGCCCATCCGTGTTACCGAAGATCGTCGCCCCACTCTCCCATTCGAGTCCGTTAGTGCTGACCTCTTCTCATGTCAAGGGTGGGAGTTCCTCGTCTATGCAGATCGCCACACTGAAGCAGTGGCGCCATACAGAAAGATAGGAATGAGGCAGCATTTATAAAAGAGACGAATACATTCGGGGGACAAGTGGGAGCAGTGAGACATCAGGCAACCTACAGATTTGCTAACTTTGTTGCATACAAAATCTACGTGAGAATTCCAGGACAATTGCGAGTCAAATACAACACCCAAATGCCTGTGCGTATCTACAATGTTAATATTACTTGGTCCGCGTCAGCAATATTGTCGCTTATCTTTTGACAATTTGAACTTAGACTTTGGACATCAACGCGTGCACTTGAAGTGATAAAACTTGGTACGATGGACGGTAAAGGCCGATTCACAATACAACTTTCTGCGACGCGACATGCGACTTGCGACACATGCGACGAGCTGCGACAGCGACACACGGTTCACAATATTCTTCATGTTTGCGACATCCTCATGCACAAGTAGTACTATGCACATGCACTGCACGTGCACCCAGGGTCGAAACTGTACTCCATTTGTGTATGTCGCGTGTCGCATGTCGCAAAAGTTGAACTTTCTTCAACTTCTGCGACAGGTGCATTGCGACAGCTCGCGACAGCTTGCGACAGCTCGCGACAGGCAGTTTCTTGTCGCAACTGTCGCAAATCGAGTGTCGCGTCAGAAAGTTGTATTGTGAATCGGGCTTTAGGCATAGAATGACAACTAGCTATGAGGAATTTATTGTCCGAGGAAGGGTTCATACTTTTTTCGGTCCTCCTCGTCGCTGCTCTTGGCGCTGGTGACAAATATTTTTTTCTTGGGATCGACTCTCTTGCTTTTGCAAGCTCATCTCTCTTCCCCTCCGCTGCCTGGCTATTTTCTAAAGAGAAGTCGATCATGACAGCCGCCTTCTCTCTAGAACTTCGCGAGGGCAGCACGACAGCCTGTATGGTTCAAATCAGACGCCGTTCTTTGCCAGATTTTATTTTGAACGACGACGACGACGCGTACAGTACTTGCAAATCTCCACGACGCACTAGATAGTCCGAGCGTTGAGCTGGAGGTAAGGGAGCTGTGATTTCAGCTTGACGAGCGATTCATGAGGTGAGTGTTTGTGCATGACTGTGAAGGTAGACATCACAGAGCACAACGTTTAACACTTGAACAAGAAAAATCTATCGTTGCTCTAGAAATATTGCTGGTGTGCTATTTCTTCTCTCATCTCATACTTCCTCCGCGTCATTAAAATTGTCGCTTCGCACATCGCAATGTTTGTGATGTGCTCGTCTTAGTCAGACTGTCGGAATCACTGTTTTCTGTGGTCGAACATTGCTGCGACCTTTCCTGCGCAATGTCTACTTGTGACTGAAGCCGTTGTGCTCTCGGAGCTCTCTTCTGCACCAAACAAATTCATCGCACTCCTCACCATTCCGCCCCAGAGCGCGAATCGTTTTTCTGGAGTTCATGCCATCCCACATCGCTCGCGTGGGCATTTATCAAGATTGAAAAGTTCGGGTATAAGAATCTCTCCTGAATTCGAAATGCTGAAGTTGACGATGGCAAGAACAAAGTGTTCTCGGATTCCGAAAAAAATCACTACGTGTGGCGCATGTTGCTGTGAAGGTAGCAGGTCTGAAAACACCAGCAAAATCAGCGAAGAGCTTGCCAAGGAAAGAAGATACGGAACCGCTGGAAAGTCGTTACAGTGGACTTGAAAAATGCTAGTTTGCCATCATCACCTGCCACCTGGAGGCATGGATCGCTTGAAAATGAAGTTTCTTGACCTGAATTTGAACGCGCGGCTTCTTCAACGTATTGTTGAATGCTGAAGTGCCTGGCTCAAACTCTGATGAAGACGTCGACCTTAGCTGCAAGTGCAGCGAAGCAGAGGCCACAAACTAAAGCTTGGTGGGTCGACAATGCTCTGACTCGATTTTTAGCTGATTTCTTTGCCCTTCGAGTGGACAAAATTTTAAAACTCGCTCTGGGAAGTAACAAATTTTAATGACGCGGAGGAAGTACAAAAGATGCAAGAGACGGGCGTGTGATGGCAGGGTCGCTAAGCTCTGCGTACATGTAGCGGAGAAGTTTTGCAAATCGTTAAACTTTACATTTGTCACACTTTTGACTCCTTCATTATAATTACCGTATGACTCCTTCATTATAATCATTGCAAACCTGTGTACGAAGCTTCAGAATGGAATCAATGTTGTTCATAAATGGATGTTGTCATGGCGTCTGAAACCCAATATCTTGAAAACAGAAATAGTCTCTCCCTCAACTAGACCACCCTCCCACACTTACCCTTCCCGGACTTGATTCGGCTATTACTTGGTCCGCGTCAGCAATATTGTCGCTTATCTTTTGACAATTTGAACTTAGACTTTGGACATCAACGCGTGCACTTGAAGTGATAAAACTTGGTACGATGGAAGGTAAGGCATAGAATGACAACTAGCTATGAGGAATTTATTGTCCAAGGAAAGGTTCATACTTTTTTCGGTCCTCCTCGTCGCTGCTCTTGGCGCTGGTAACAAATATTTTTTCTTGGGATCGACTCTCTTGCTTTTGCAAGCTCATCTCTCTTCCCCTCCGCTGCCTGGCTATTTTCTAAAGAGAAGTCGATCATGACAGCCGCCTTCTCTCTAGGACTTCGCGAGGGCAGCACGACAGCCTGTATGGTTCAAATCAGACGCCGTTCTTTGCCAGATTTTATTTTGAACGACGACGACGACCCGTACAGTACTTGCAAATCTCCACGACGCACTAGATAGTCCGAGCGTTGAGCTGGAGGTAAGGGAGCTGTGATTTCAGCTTGACGAGCGATTCATGAGGTGAGTGTTTGTGCATGACTGTGAAGGTAGACATCACAGAGCACAACGTTTAACACTTGAACAAGAAAAATCTATCCGGATACAGGGGTCGACCTATAACCGGGTTCGAAAAATTACGGTAATTATTACTTGTTCCCCCCCCCCTCCCCCCCCCCAAAAAAAGTTGCTCGCCTTATCTATCCAAGGCGAGCACAATACGGGTTTTTTTCAATATCTTGCCATACCGCAATCGGATTCAATACGCACTACAAATGAAAGCTGTTCGGACCACAGCTTTAGTTTCCCTTCATCAGAGACAATGGCACATGCAATGGGGAATTGAGACAATTCGCTATTTTTGTAGTAATAGTATTCATCGTAGAGCGCTCCTTTCTTCTGTAGCTGACCGCTAAAGACCTGTGCCTGGCGTCACACAGGTCTATGCATGCCCGGACTGTCACGCAACAGAGGGAAATCCTAGGCTTTATGCAAAAATACTATGAATCTATGATTGCCGCCCAAGTGCGGAAGTGAAAATTTGCAACGGTACGTAAAATACCTTGCGAGTGCCGTAACTCCACTATTGGACCTCGGATCGACTTCCGATTTGTTGGAGCCGACAGCTGAGATCTTTCTAATGCGAATAGTTCTTTCGATTACTCGATTCCGTTCAGGGAAAGCCGAGTTACGAAATATTGAGTGTTTTCAGAACTTCATAGTGATGCGGATGCGCTCGAAATTCTCAAGGCGCGCGACGAAAAATGCGCCCTAAAAGAAGGTACGCTTTCCAACGGCCAGTGGCTTTTCGTTGGTGCAGTTTGTATCCCACCCTCCCACCCCTGACTTCTGGGTGTGTGTTTATCGATATATCGTATTTGTTTTTCTTATTGGCCACGTGGCTGTTGCAGTTACGACTGCTTTTCTATTTTAGTTAAAAAACGTAGGGGTGGTGTGTGCGTCGTGGGCCATTGTATGGTTATAATTATACAGCTTCAGATTGTATGGCTACTGACAGGCTACTGGGAATGCGGTCCAGCACAACATTTTTGCTGACGCAAAAAGTTGTGGGGAAATCCCAAAATCGGTGCGATTTTGCCTGAGCCCAAATGTTCAAGTTAGTTACCCACAAAGACACCATGCACCAGCTTTCCAACTCTCTTTGGCCGTTGGAAAGCGTACCTTCTTTTAGGGCGCATTTTTCGTCGCGCGCCTTGAGAATTTCGAGCGCATCCGCATCACTATGAACTGCTCTCCCACCACTCTCCTTGAGAGGATAGCGAGAGTGATTGTTCACTCTCCTGGATTTTTCTTACACGAAGGTCAGCAACCGGGATTCGACTTATCATTGAACCGGGAACTATCAGAATCTTACAAAAAATGACCTGCCCTGCATGCATGAGTGCACCATGTGTACACATGATTTGTTGATGTGTTTGTAGCAGGGCGTGGTTGGTAGTGCTTCGATGGGTAAAAACTTTAAAACGCAGAATTGAGACCTCCGGATACAGGGGTCGACCTATAACCGGGGTCGAAAAAATACGGTAATTATATATATAAATAATTACTCAATCTGCGGACAGAACTGTTTCGTCCTTTGTGGACTCGTCAGCGCAGCACAGAGGAAATGAGGCCAAACCTGATAGCAATGGAAATAAAAATTTCCAATCAGGCCCGAACGTACCTTGCCAGAGTGCTCAAACTGACAAGTCAGTGAGCTCTGCATAAAGCAAACAGCAAAGGCACTACCCCACGCAAGAGTGCTCAACTGCTACAAGAGCAGGAAATAATTACCGTATTTTTTCGACCCCGGTTATAGGTCGACCCCTGTATCCGGATAGATTTTTCTTGTTCAAGTGTCAAGTAAAGTCGGCGGAATAGCGCGAGCTCCGGTGTGGGGAGCAAACCCTTTCTTACAAATTATCGCCGAAGTCGCAACCACTACTTCGTACTGTTGTGCCCAGCGCGGGCTTGCGACTAGTTGGTTTGGAGGTGACAGCGTTGCGAATGACCGAGGGTCCTCGACGTCTGTCTCACCGTCCAGGAGCGACACTGACTCACGCTGCTATCTGGTGTTCACGAGGTGTTTGTCGCGCTGGAAACGGAGCGTCTCTGTAAGTTTGTATCCCTGGTGATGTTTGTGCCTGGAGAGCACTATAGCACTATATAAGTGGTGCTCTTCAGGCACAATCTTCCTCAGCCTACTCAAGCTCAACTGATGAGGGGTGAATTCCCCGAAACACTGTGTATTGAGCAGGGAGTGGTGCTTTCTTGCAGGTTT